CCCCCTGGATTCTGGATCCATAGGGGCTCCCTTTCTTCTATAGCGTCCCCCCCCGCCCCACGGTCCCTGCCCTCCACCTTCCCCCATGGCAGCCGGGCTCGTGGCCTCGCTGCAGCAGGGTCCCCCTGGGGCTCGCGTTGCGGGGTGTCCAGCCGGCTCTGCGGCATCCCCCCCTCCCGTCCCGTGTCGCTGGGTCGGCGCCCGTGTTTCGTGCCCCGCTCTGGGGGGTCTGCGCGCCGCGGAGCCGTGTCGGCATCTGGGGATCCTGCATCTCCATTGCCGCCGGTCTGATCCCCTCCGCCGTCGTGTGGCAGATTGTGCGCGTGGGTGGGTGGGTTTGCTCCGCATCTCCTTGACGTGAGCCAGCTCCCGTTCACTCTGCACATCTTCTGTGTGCGCCCCCCATATAAGCTGTGTGTGTGCGTGTGTGTGCGCGCGCGATCTCCATGTTCATCCCTAGGCGCATGGATTGATGGCTTTTAATTACACATCTGCTAAAACACCTCGATGAAGGTATATTAGGAATAATCCTACAGCATGGTGCCTAGGCAGGGGAGTTGCCTTGAAAAGAAAATGCTGATAGCTAGACTCTGCAGGGCTCTTATCTTTTTGAAATCCCCACCGCTCGGAAGAAATCGGGCGCCCTTTAAAACAGGAATATGCCGGTCCTCTCCCCTTCCTTTCAGCTAGTGGCTCTGGGGACGGGGGCAGAAATGTGGGGCATCCAGGGGAGGCTGGGGGTGAGTGCTGTAGGGGAATCGTCTCCTGCAGTAATCATTTTAAAGGTGTCACTGTAAAAATGAAGAAGATTTTCTTGTTTCTTTTTGGGTGGTTTCTGTACCCTCTCATCCAATCCTAAGCAAGGGTAGAAGCAGTTTAATTAGACCCTGAGGAAACCTTGCGGGAGCCAGTGTGTATTTGTGTTTCGGCGCAAACGAGCGGGTGTTTCCTCCTGCAGCAGTGCCTGATGCAATAAGCCGCTGCGATCCTGGGGTGGATCCCTCTTGGCCTCGCTCTTCCACGGGACGAAGCTGCAGCAGCATCGGCCACATCCAGCGCTGCCCGGCGCTCCTCCTCTGGGCTGGGCTCATGGCTTTAATTAAATTGTATCCAGTTGGCAAACGTAATTGTTTGCTTTGTTTCTCCCGTCTGAGCCCCTTTTTTTTTTTCCCTCTCCCTTATCAGTCATGACAAAGAGTCGCCGCACGCTGTGGTGTGCGTGTAGTGGCTGTGCTCCATGACGAGCAGTGCGATAACCTATTTTGAATTGCCACTTCTTGCTCTGACTTTCCTCCCTGCAGCCCCCCTGCAGTCCAACCAAGACAATTTTGGTTTTAAAAAAAAAAATCAGATCCCTCCCTCTGCCACGTTAGCCTGGAACTACAGTTCAGCCCAGCAGCCCCCGAGTGAAACTTTCCCGTTTTGGTGGAAGTAGTTAACAGGAAGGAAGCAGGTCAGCATGGTCTCCAGCTTTTTTTTTTTTTTTTTTTTTTATTATTATTATTGGCTGGGTTGTGGAAGCTGCTCGTGCAAAGTGCACTCTGAGCTCAGCCTGTCAAGTTTTATTGTCCTCTCCTTGTATTTGAATTCGTTTGCTGTTTGACCCCCTTCTCTGTGAAGTCTTATGACTTCGTCATTCATAGGAGCTATTTTTACCCTTCTCCCCATCTTTAAAGATGAACTCCCAACTGCAAGCCTCTGTCTGCCGTGCGCTCGGTAGATGCAAGCATAATGCAAAATCATGCAGTAAAAAAAGCAGGTAGATACCTGGCAGTGGAAAAGCTCTGGATTATTATTTTTTTTAATGAAAGAAATTATGTACTAAGAAAGACGCTAAGCTGAGCGTGTTAAACTACAGAAGTGATTGAAGGCCACGCTTATTGTATATCTGGCCTCTCAACACTTCTTTAAAAATTCAGGTCTGAGCTTTGCTTTTGGAAGGGAAACTCTTTCCACATTAAGAAAAAAACATTTGCAAGCAGCCCACGTTAGAAACAAAATCAAGCTATCACATAGTCGGAGATGTGTGTTATAAACCAGACCGTAGGATTGTTGATGGTTTTGTGGGTCGCCGATCGCAGTACACGATGGAGGGGCTGGGGGTGGAAATCCTATCTATGCAGGAGAGAAAAACCTTCCTACAACCTTCTCAAGATGATGACGGTTAATTTGTCTTTGTGGCCTTGTACTTGGATTTATCATTGATTGTGTTTGGTTCCTCCAGTGCTTTGATAGCTTGCTGTCTTGGAATAATAACCATTCTGTGTTTGTCATCCCTCTCCAAGGCCATTACACATACTAATAATTGTGAATTGTGGTGGTGCCTATTCAGGGCACCTTAAAAAAAACCGAGTATGCGCCCATGCGGAGATGCACAGTAGTGGCAGGGAGGTGGGGGAAAATTCACTTCGGAAACTCGAATGATCTCAAACTCTGCTGCTGTGTGCACAAGTTTCAAAGTGCCCCTGCCTCATTCGCAGCCTCGGCTTGTATCTGTGGGGTGAGCAAAGTCCGGGGAGATGGTCTCTGGGCCAGACGTCCAGAGCAGAATCTGTATCTTCAACTCTCGTCTCTTCTTCCTCCAGGGGGAACTAGTAAGAAAGTTGAAAGAGGAGAAAGCTCCCCAGGTGGATGTAGACAGAGCTGTAGCAGAGCTCAAAGCTCGGAAGAAGACCCTAGAAGCCAAGGTAAGCACCAGAGTTAATTCCAGGTCCCAGAGAGTTTCCTGGGAGCCTCCTTGAAATGTTATCGGCTCACCATGTTGTTAAATATGGACCTGCAGGCTTAGAGGGTTATAACTACTAGCTGTTGTATTGATGGAATCACAGAGGAGCAGGGCTGAAGGGGACTGCCACCGGCTGCTCCAGTCCAACCCCCCGCCCGAGGCAGGACCATCTCCATCTGACTATCCCGCACAAATCTATAACTGCTTAGTAAAACTACCATCAGCTCTGACATGACCCCAGACATAACGTCCAACCACCACAGGTAAAGCAGGAGGCAGAACCACAACAGCCAATGTCCTGGTTCTGTAAAAGGTTAATATATGCTCAAGAGATC